GACATAACTGTGTAAACAATTTTTTATTAAACAATGTAATGATACAAAATTGTTGTCAAAAGAATATAAATCATTTTTCTTGTTCGTCCGAACGAATACATAAATTAAGAACTTCTCCTTCATCTTGATAACTAGAATAATTTGGATTATAATTTTCCAATAATAATATATCGTTAACGTCAGCGGGATTTATGAAATTATAATCGTTTTGAAAAAAATTCTGGTTCAAATGTGAAGAGCAACATGCGTGATTACAACAATTATTTCCAACCATCGTTCCTGCTTCACTACCTTCAGGTAAGTTCAAAAGTGATTGGTTATTACTATGTTTTTGTGAATGCGCAGGTTGCAGGGTTAAATTTAAGGTTCCATTTACCTGAAAACAAAAAAAAAACGATTAATTAATCTCAATCAAGCATCTATATAGACATCATTAAAAATGCTATTAATTCTCTTTTTAACATTCAATACAAGATGTAATAATTTTTCTATGTTACATTCATGTTTGGAATGATGCCATGGTTACAAGTTTCAACATCCAACATTTTTTTTATAAATGTTTATATCAGTTGTATGTGTCTTTTGCACCGAACGACTGGCAAACAGCTCTCCAGAACCTAAATAGTGACTTAAATCAATTAACACTAAAGTATAATCTCCACTTGAATCCTTCTAAATCTCAAGCAATTTTATTCGATAGCTTTTTGGTAATCAAATCGCTTACCCCACAGTTTACAATTAGTATTAATAATGTTATTATTCCGATAAGTGAAAGTGTAAAAAACTTGGGTGTTATCATGGATAACTCATTTAGATACAAAGAGCAGATTTCGTTACTTATGTGTAGAGCATATGCTGGTCTTTGTGCATTTTTTTACGTAAGCTTTCACTACCTACCGCTAGGTTTCCGCGTACAGAAATCTCTTGGGTTTAGTTCCACTACTAACCGCGAATTTTTCTAGTTACTTTTTTAAGAAAGTCACCAGATCTATTTATTTTTCCAATACCAACCTAAACCTAGTAATTTTTTACCCCCCTGATTTAAGTTGGTCACTTTCCCTATACTTATAACATTGGAGTGTAACGTCACCAGGAGCCGCTTCTGGTCCAGAACTCTCATTAATACACTATTCATATGAGAGGAGATTAACTTATCTAGCTAGGAGATTAGCTCTACATCTCTGCGCACAAAAACTACGTCCGCAGATGATACAGAAACATAGGCAAAGCAGATATATTGCCTAGGAACCGATCTGTACTGTAACAGAAAGTAATTAGAACTCTAAAATCATCAAGACTTGCATTGGTGACCATCAGGTCCATGCAAACTATGACTGAATTGATAAACCCAACCTATCTGCCACACATACGTTTCTACAACAGAGTGTCCTTATCCACAAAACAGAGAAGCGCATAGCTTTGATCCAAATCTATGAATCAGAGGTATGTGGTCTAGGATCAGATGAATATCTTCCTCATTTACCCAATTCAATCTTTGTTCCACCTTAAATGTAAATGTTTTTAATATGTCAAGGTTTTTCAGTTTTCCGCTGTTATACCTTGTTATCTTTATCTCTACTTTTCCTTTTGTTGCATTAGATATTCGAGCTCTGAGAGTCCCTGCATCTAAATAGTGGTTCTACAGTCGAGTACGTGGATTAATATCTTGAATCTAACAAGATGTCATCGATTTGATTCGTGGTGCACATCTTGTGAGGTTCACATTATTTTTGTATCCTTATATGTGAGAAGTATGTGCTTCTAATAGTCATATTCATAGATGAGGCAAAGTTTACAAGTCTGGTTCAGTTATCCTTACACTCTTGGTATAAACTATATGGTCGTATTGTTGGGTTGGATATTTTCTCGACCTACTTTTGCGTTCATATGTCCCAATATTATTTTCGCTCCCATACAAACTTTAAAACTGTGGTTTTAACAAATTTGATATTCTACATTAATTTCTGTTATGCATAACATTGGTGCAAGAGCAACGTTAGCTTCTTGCAGCCGCGACAGATATTCCATTTTGCAATTTTGAACCCATCACCTATTTTGGAGTAGACCTTAGAGAATTACACCTTAGAATATACGGACGTCAGACACTTTATGTCAAAGACTCGCCCCTAACCCTATTTGGTCAGAATCTCGTTTATTAGAATAGGAGTACCACAAGGTGAGGTGTAGTCACACTGTAATCTATGACCTTCCTATCAAGAAGATACCTGATTATTACAGTCGCCCCCACTGTTCTACCACATCCAGAGACGTTTCTGCGCACTTTGGGCATTCAACACTAGGAATCATACAGAAATCTTGCAATACACTCATCTAACCTCTCATAAGAATCTACAATTCTATCCCCTCCTAATCTAAAACTACTAAAAGGTGAGCTTGAGTTGAGTATGAAAAACTTTGTAGACTACAATGTAGCACAAAGCAGCCATGACAAAAACTAATTTCTTTGGAGTTTGTGTGAAAATGTCTATTTCAAACAATATGCAAAATTGACTATTTAATTTACTTTCTCTGGACGGACACTTACTATAATATATAATCAATTCAACCGTTTGTAGACTTGACCCATATCATCAAATTCCACAATATGCTAAAACTTCTTACAACATAACAAGTCGTTGGCGAAAAAGTTATAGAAGAAATTATGACCTTAGCTTATTGGGTATTTCTCTAATTTTTTGATACATGCTTGCAAAAAAAGTTTCGTCTTAACGTTAAGGAAATTTATGGTAACGCCTTGAACAGCTCTATTTTTGAACTATACTCTTAATTCGTAGTAAGCTTTAAGTTTTGGTAAAGTTTGCATAAAAAATAAATATCAAATAGCTTTATATTTTGCCAACCATCTCGTTTCTCATAAGAAAATTAACTTTTTTACAAATCTATGACACTAAACACTTTTTGGAAAACACTAACTGTTTTCTTAACACTTAAAAAACAATTTTGAATTTTCTGAACTGGGTGATTAATAACTAAATTCAGTGTTCGTAATGACAGAAGTTTATCTTGGGGTGCTTTATTTTAATTCTTTGGTGCACACTCAATTCTTTTCCAGCCATTATTGCACATCCATCAAACTCAAACTCACGATTGCGTCGCTGTCCCTACAAAAGGTACTGTTATAAGTTCTACTGAATACTATGGTTGAAATGATAGGCAGGAGTATATTTCTATTCTCCTCCATCTATCTTGCAGTAGAAATATCGATCTGGTGAATGACAACCATCTATGTCCCCTCCATTATATATTTAATAACTGCTGCCATAACCCACGTGCGGCATATCTTTTTTCTGCCCTAATCCATATTTAAAATTTTCTGAACAATGACACAATAAAAGCGTTTATTACTTCCCTTTTCAATAAAAGCTTTAAAAATATACAAGTTTCGCACAAAACTTCTTTTACGAGTTGAGCCATAAAATGAAATAACTTATTTAAGGAGGGACAGAAATCAGTAAAATCAAAGGAAGATACAGGATGGAACAAAAGTATAGAATATAGCTAATAAACACGCCATTTGTGATATAAATGAAAAATGTTTCAAATTAAAGTTTCCTGGTTAATTATGGTGCATATTCTGGCTATTTTTGTTTGTTTGTACTGTTCTTAGTTTCGTTGCTATGGTAACCAACATTGTTATCTTAAATGGGATACATGATTTTTTGCATATTTTGACAGAAACCAGAAAAGGCAAAAGAATATATGTAAACGGTGTCTTTTGCTATCTCAATAATTCTGCGATTCCAACATCGTCGAAAACCGTAATTGGGGTAAAAACATTCACAAAACACTAGCTATAAAATTTGATATGTTATAACATTTAGCAGGTTTATGAATAACTCATCTTTAAAGGTCATATAGCTTGAAATTTAACATCAAATTCATATTCATACAGCATATGATGAAGCAGTAATTGTGCTTGCAGTGATGATTGCGTTATCAAATTTTGTTCGCAAATTTACCACTTTTATCCCTCCTGTTGATCGTAAATATAGTATTACACTCTAGACATAGATATTCTAATAAATGTACACTCTAAGTTGTTCAATATTTAACATTTTTACACTTCAAGCTCTGATTCTGAGTATTAATTAAAGAGCACGATGCTTATCCGTTGACGTCAGTTATGAGTTATGAGTAGGGCACGGAACTTTTGTAACAAAACGATACGATTTCCCCCCTCCACTCGTTTTTAACAGAAAATTTCATACAAAAGTTGTTCTAAATTAAATTCTAAAACGATTTTCTCAATAAAAAAAATATATCTATAAAAATTTTTTTGATATTATGTTGTTAATTATTGATCAAATCAAAAATATTTATTAACAACATTTGTTTAGAATTACTTCAGGAACAGTGTTTGTTAATACATTTTTTTGCTAACTTGAAATTTAAATAATTTCCCTCTGAATAGTATGCTATCAAAATTAATTATCTCAACAATTATTGTTTTTATTAAAAAATGTTTTAAATAAAATTTGTTTCAATTTCGATTTTGAATCAATTATCTTAATAAAAAATTTTTACATCTCTATTAATTAAGCATCTAAGTATAATTATGTATAAAAACGGAAAAATTATTATTTTGAGGTTATCTCCTTAATTATTGATTAAATCAAAAAAAATTGTTGACAAAGTTTGTTTAGAATTGTTTCAGGAACAATTTTTGTTAACACAATTTTTTTCTAACTTGAAATTTTAATTTCCCACTGAACAGTATGCTACAAAAATTAATATTTTTGAGGTTATATCCTTATTGTTGATTTAATCAAAAAATGTTGTTAACAAAATTTGTTTAGAATTACTTCAGGAACAGTGTTTGTTAATACAATTTTTTGCTAACTTGAAATTTTAATTTCCCTCTGAATAGTATGCTATCAAAATTAATTATCTCAACAATTATTGTTTTTATTAAAAAATGTTTTAAATAAAATTTGTTTCAATTTCGATTTTGAATCAATTATCTTAATAAAAAATGTTTACATCTCTATTAATTAAGCATCTAAGTATAATTATGTATAAAAACGGAAAAATTATTATTTTGAGGTTATCTCCTTAATTATTGATTAAATCAAAAAAAATTGTTGACTAAGTTTGTTTAGAATTGTTTCAGGAACAATTTTTGTTAACATAATTTTTTTCTAACTTGAAATTTTAATTTCCCACTGAACAGTATGCTACAAAAATTAATATTTTTGAGGTTATATAATTATGACTGAAAAGGTTAGATATAAAAACATACTTTTGACTTAACCAAATATACCAAAACTTCTCAGTCCAAACCGGGTTCAAAACTAATCAAAACCGCTTCTTCAAACAATGTCATAAAAAATATAAATTATAATTCTGCCAAATAAAGATGTCAAAATCTGAATTACTAAATCATAACTTATTAATCTATTCATTTAAGACTAATAATAAAATTTTTTTTTTCTTTTTCCGAGATATTTTTGATGGGTAAAATTGTAAATAAAACCAAATTCTGCTAAACAATTTTTATTTCGTTCTCGGAATCACTATTTTATTTCATTCATATAATATATATATATATTTATTTATATCACTTGATATGAATCAAAATAACATATTTTTAGTGGTACATCTTTGATTTTCAGTCACGGTTTGTTTTTTTTTTTGCTCACTTATAATAACGAATCAAAAATGTACGGTTGTAAACTCTCGACTACGTTTTTTTTTGGTTTCTCAAAATCTAAGGTACAACATACAATATAATAATATGTATAATCGTTATTATTACGGTTCTCTTCGCGTCTCTTTAAATATATCTTTGTACACAATTTAAATCTGTGGTGTTACTGGTTCTATTTCATTAAATTAATTTTAATTTATCAGTATATTATTAATATTATTTGTTTTCTTCTTTTAAATTTAAAACCGCTCGAAAAATTAAAAATCTGAGCAAATACCTCAATATTTAATGGACCTTTCGAACTGTTTAATCCGCAAGATTACTTTGATTTTTTTTTTTTATTTTTGAGTTTCTTTTGGTCAATAAAGGAAAGTATTGGCAAACATGGAAGCATCAAACATATTATAATGAACTATTTACAATGTCTCCAAAATGAGAACTTAAAAACAACCGAGGAATTTTTTTTTTTTGTTGGGAAGCTCATACAATTTTTTTCCTTTTAATATAATAATATAATTTTGACGTATCTACTAAGGCACAACCACTTTTTTGTTTGAAATTTTTTTAAAATTACATACAATAAATTTTTTTGTCCCAATTTTAATTTAATTTAAGGACTTATGTATAATATACAGAGTTTCTACTAGAAATTGTTCCAACTATCATTTTTCTTCCTCATTATCAATTATTTCCTATTAAAAAAATGTTAGTTGGTGTCATGGAAAATTGAGATTTAACTAACTAATTTACAGGTAGGTATTTACATGTTCTGTTTTAACTTCATGTTCTTATTAATGGCTAATATGTTGTTTAAACCCTGTTAAGTATTGTGAGAACATTTCACACATCTTTTTTCTCTTCTTTCATGTTTGAGTAAATTTTTCACCTTGACTAGAATCATTCAATATTTACATTACGTACATGGTGTCATAATCATATCACAAAATCACTTAACTACATACACTTTATCATTATTATCATAGCATATTTTTTTGTGGTTAAGAGTTTTTGAAGCATGATTAGGACACCCAATATTTACCGGAAATAAATAATTTATTCATATTTCGTGTCATAATCATAATCATCCACCGTTTTCGTCCAATATATTACTTTCTTATAGGTCATAATCCTATAAAATAATAATAAAAACTATAGCGCTTGGTCCCAAACGAATATGTCGACTCGAAAACGCCTGATCATTTTTCAAAATTTAAATTGAAACGAAACTATTTTTTTTTTTCAAATACATTACAGTCCCCTTTGGCAAGGCACTATTATAATTTTGAACGATATCATTTTTTTTTAAACATTTCGGGTTCATCTCCGTTAAAATTTCAATCGCAAAACATAAAATTAACAATTAATTTTTGATTAATAAAATTTGATTAACAAAACACGTTTCCTTTAAAATAAACGACATATTTTTTTATACATCTTACATAGACGGCCTATGGATTAAATTTAAAAATTTACTAATTGTACATTTCGGCCATCAATCATTTTTTCCTTAAACAATAAATTTCGACTATGAACTCATTTATAGTTGAAAATCTAAAAATTTTAAATCATTTTCGGTTTGCATAAAGTAATCGAGAAAACCTTTATTATTCGGCGGTCGTTGAAAGCGACCCCTTTCCGTCGAACCGAAAGCTTCGTTAAAATCCGGTAATGCTTTTTTAGGTTTAAGACTTTCCCCCGATGTTGATTTTACCTTTTTCGGCTTGGTTTCTTCTTTATTTTCAAAATTTCCTTCTCCAAACCCTACGTAAGATTCATTTTCTCCTCCATCCGTTTCCAACGGTTGAATACTATCCAATTTATTTTCAAAAACCGGTTCTCGCATTGTAATTTTTTCAATTTCTTGTCTTTCACAATTACTCGGAATCGTTTGATGGTGGTGTTCTTGATTTGGAAAAACATCCACTTCTGTTTTCGGTTTCGCTCGAAACGTTGTTTCCAAGTGTTGTTGGTATCCGTGCATTTGATGAGGAGGTGAAATTATATACGGGCCCGTTGAGTTACTTCGCATTTCTTCGTATGGATGCCAAATTTCAGGTTGTTGTGGAATTCTTGGAGAATTATTCTAAAATTAAATTAAAAGTTATAATAAAAAAGTTATAAACAAGTTACTACGATTTATACCTGCACAAAATTTTGTGAGGAATGATGACTCATCGGGTGTAAATGTTTTGTGTAATGAATCGGTGGCATAAATCCTCCACCATTTGATGTGTTTGACATTGAATTAAATCCTGGGGATGTACACATTGGAGAGTTCATCATACGAACACCATGAGGACCCTGAAACATAAAACCAATAAGATTTGTTCATGTTCAGTGTTTCTAGATAATAGGTAAAATAGTTAATTTAATAGTTTAAGTTTGTTTTGATAAACTTTTTTCAATCTAACTTGCGTATTTAAGGGAATAGTTCTATGACCAGGTCAACAAAGACACTCATTGTGGGATATGTTTTTATAATCGTTGTCTTAAATTTCACAAAAATTTTTGTAATGTGACCTTGAATGATTATTTTCAAATTCAACTGAACATTCAAAAAAAATCTCGGATGATCGCAGCATTTGTAGTCATCTAAGTCAAAAGTTTGAAGGTGTGTCTCGTGCCAGAATTAAATGATTTGAATAAAAAATCATCAGAAATCATATAGCCCTAATGGTTCGTTTTCTGGATGTCCATGTAGACGATTTTTGCCTTTGTCTTCTATAACTGCTTTTTTGAAAACTTCATCTACAAGGGCTTTGACGCCAATATTTATATGATCTATGATTAAATAATAACCTGATATACTGGAATCTTTGCCCAAACCTATAAGAGAACAGTTTTGTGTTCTAAATACAAATATGATCTGGTAAGTTCTATACATTGATAAGAAGCGGAATGATGTATGACGCAGAAGTATGGGGATGAAGAGAACAAGAAATGCTTGGTATTGGAGAAAGATGGGTACTAAGGTTGGCAAGGGAGACTCCAGGGTATATAGTGAAGGAAGAGGTTAAGGTGGATTTAATAAGGGTGGAGGCTGGGAGAAGAGCAGTGAAATACGAGGAAAGAGTAAAAGGATAGAGGAAAGAATGAAAGGATAGAGGGAGGATTTTGTCTTTATGGTCCATTACTAAGGTTTTATGTATAAAAACTATTTCCCCATCGCTGTTAGTTTTTGAGTTATAATTGAGTTAATTTTCAAAAATCAACAATTTTGATGTTTAATCGATTTAGAGCTTATAAATAAAAAATGGTAATAATTGGGTTCAATCTTGTTATGGATNGAGAGTTCATCATACGAACACCATGAGGACCCTGAAACATAAAACCAATAAGATTTGTTCATGTTCAGTGTTTCTAGATAATAGGTAAAATAGTCAATTTAATAGTTTAAGTTTGTTTTGACAAACTTTTTTTAATCAAACTTGCATATTTAAGGGAATAGTTCTATGTCCAGGTCAACAAAGACACTCATTGTGGGAATCTCGGATGACCGCAGCATTTGTAGTCATCTAAGTCAAAAGTCTGAAGGTGTGTCTCGTGCCAGAATTAAATGATTTGAATAAAAAATCATCAGAAATCATATAACCCTAATGGTTCGTTTTCTGAATATCCATGTGGACGATTTTTGCCTTTGTCTTCTATAACTGCTTTTTTGAAAACTTCATCTACAAGGGCTTGGACGCCAATATTTATATGATCTATGACTAAATAATAACCTGATATACTAGAATCTTTGCCCAAACCTAAGAGAGAACAGAAGTATGGGGATGAAGAGAACAAGGAATGCTTGGTATTGGAGGAAGATGGGTACTAAGGTTGGCAAGGGAGACTCCAGGGTATATAGTGAAGGAAGAGGTTAAGGTGGACTTAATAAGGATGGAGGCTGGGAGAAGAGCAGTGAAATACGAGGAAAGAGTAAAAGGATAGAGGGAAGGATTATTGCAAGATGTACGCAGTTTCACTTATGATATGCTAAGGGGATACATACTTATTGTATAGTACAAAATATTTGCAAAGTTACAAATTATTTGATCGACGCAGATTCAATAATTGTTTAGACCAGTGTTGTCCACTAATTTTTGATCAAGATCGACTTTTTATATAAAGGTCTTGCCAAGATCGACCGAAGGGTTTAAAGTAACCTTCCTTTTTTTTTTTGCTCTGAGGCCCAGATATAGATATTTCAGATTCATGATTTTTTTGGCAATCGACGTTATGGTCACCACTAATTTAGAGCTTATAAATAAAAAATGGTAATAATTGGGTTCAATCTTTTTATGGATCTTGTCTTTATGGTCCATTACTAAGGTTTTATGTATAAAAAGTATTTCCCCATCGCTTTTAGTTTTTGAGTTATGATTGAGTTAATTTTCGAAAATCAACAATTTTGATGTTTAATCGATTTAGAGCTTATAAATAAAAAATGGTAATAATTGGGTTCAATCTTATTATGGATTTAGTCTTTATGGCCCATTACTAAGGTTTTATGTATAAAAAGTATTTCCCCATCGCTTTTAGTTTTTGAGTTATGATTGAGTTAATTTTCGAAAATCAACAATTTTGATGTTTAATCGATTTAGAGCTTATAAATAAAAAATGGTAATAATTGGGTTCAATCTTATTATGGATTTAGTCTTTATGGCCCATTACTAAGGTTTTATGTATAAAAAGTATTTCCCCATCGCTTTTAGTTTTTGAGTTATGATTGAGTTAATTTTCGAAAATCAACAATTTTGATGTTTAATCGATTTAGAGCTTATAAATAAAAAATGGTAATAATTGGGTTCAATCTTATTATGGATTTAGTCTTTATGGCCCATTACTAAGGTTTTATGTATAAAAAGTATTTCCCCATCGCTTTTAGTTTTTGAGTTATGATTGAGTTAATTTTCGAAAATCAACAATTTTGATGTTTAATCGATTTAGAGCTTATAAATAAAAAATAGTAATAATTGGGTTCAATCTTGAGATGGATTTAGTCTTTATGGCCCATTACTAAGGTTTTATGTATAAAAAGTATTTCCCCATCGCTTTTAGTTTTTGAGTTATGATTGAGTTAATTTTCGAAAATCAACAATTTTGATGTTTAATCGATTTAGAGCTTATAAATAAAAAATGGTAATAATTGGGTTCAATCTTTTTATGGATCTTGTCTTTATGGTCCATTACTAAGGTTTTATGTATAAAAAGTCTTTCCTCATCGCTTTTAGTTTTTGAGTCATAATTGAATTAATTTTCGAAAATCAACAATTTTAATGTTTAATCGATTTAGAGCTTATAAATACAAAATGGTAATAATTGGGTTCAGTCTTTTTATGGATCTTGTCTTTATGGTCCATTACTAAGGTTTTATGTATAAAAAGTATTTCCCCATCGCTTTTAGTTTTTGAGTTATAATTGAGTTAATTTTCAAAAATCAACAATTTTGATGTTTAATCGGTTTAGAGCTTATAAATAAAAAGTGGTAATAATTGGGTTCAATCTTGTTATGGATCTAGTCTTTATGGCCCACTACAATTTTGACGTTTAATCGATTTAAAGCAGTAGTGTCCACAAATTTTTGATCAATATCGACTTTTTATATAAATGTCTTGCCAAGATCAACCGAATGGTTTAAAGTAACCTTCCTTTTTTTTTGCTCTGAGGCCCAGATATTAGATATTTCAGATTCATGATTTTCTTGGCAATCGACTCAAAACTGCTTTGCGATCGACCAGTTGATCGCGATCGACGTTATGGACACCACTGGTTTAGACAAAGAGAACATATTAGGTTAGATATATACTAGATTATTAAAGGAAAAACTGATGGAGTAAAAAGTAATTCTGAGCAAAAGTTAATCTGCTTTTGCCATCAACAAAACGTACCATTACCCAAAATTCTAATAGACATGTATGAAACCTGAAATTTAATCGCACGTGTCAAATAATGCAAATAAATGTACTGAAATATAAGTACATTATTTGACATGGGCAAGTGTAAAACGAGTTTCCAATCAATTAGAAACTTTTCTTGGTACAAACCTAANGCCCATTACTAAGGTTTTATGTATAAAAAGTATTTCCCCATCGCTTTTAGTTTTTGAGTTATAATTGAGTTAATTTTCGAAAATCAACAATTTTGATGTTTAATCGGTTTAGAGCTTATAAATAAAAAATGGTAATAATTGAGTTCAATCTTGTTATGGATTAAATTAAAGATGTGTATACCAAAGTATCATGCTTCATCGATACCTTGATGATTGGTCATTGATGCTTATTCTGTGGAAGGTCTTTTCAAAATTCTTGAAATGAAAGTCATCTCATTTCTCAATTCTTGCTTAGATTAAATTATCTACGAAAGTTAATCTAAGCAAGTATACCTATCTATTATACAACACACTCTACCAGATATCAATACACACTCCACCAATTTATTTGGCCAAAAAACTGAAGTATGATAATATCATTCTGCTGATTAGGGAAGTATCTTCAACAAATGACTTATTTTTGTTAAGCAGAAATATTACAGAAATCTGATACATTTTGCAAACTGTAAGATTTAGATAATTCTTTAACTGCTTTTATGTCATTAATAAAGTATTCTAATAGACATGTATGAAACCTGAAATTTAATCGCACGTGTCAAATAATGCAAATAAATGTACTGAAATATGAGTACATTATTTGACATGGGCAAGTGTAAAACGAGTTTCCAATCAATTGGAAACTTTTCTTGGTACAATCCTAAAATTTCCTACTTTGGTAAACTAAGGCCGTTTGCACCCGGAGCTAGTGGAAAGGAACTATTCAAATTTGATCATCCATGGCGTTATTAATTACGGACTCGTCTGTGATTGACAAAAATGACCGAGTTAATGGCATGTCGAGTTGCCTAGTGATTTAAGTTTCCAGATCCAAGTGGTCCAGCAGAATAAATGACCAACAACCTTTTCTTCGTGGCAGAAATGGAAAAAAGTTCGATTTTATATAATTTTCAGCATCCTGACTACTCAAAAAAACATGAAGCGGAACAACGTGGGTGAGATCGGCAACGTGGTAAAATTGACAGGTTCTTTATCTTTATTTTAATTATAGGAATACAAAATTGTGATAACCTCATCTCGCGCATTTTCCACTGCCAGGGCAGAAAATCTTACAAGTTAACGAAATTGTTGGCTAAATACCCTCTGAGAACTGCTGCACGAAAGTTGTTATGTCATCTACAACAGCAGTTGTATCACTTGTATATATATATATATATATATATGTATATATAGGAAAGTCTGCATCCATGACGACTAAACTGAACAAACC